GGTTCCTGGAGAAGCATCGCAAGTTGGGGGTGTCGTAACTCGAACCCTCATTTATGATAGGCCTTGTAAATGTGGGCCGAGGATGTAAATCGAGGGTTTTCAGCCCCTTCCACACTTAAAAAATGGCTATAAGTGCGGGGGGTTGCAACTCGGGGGTTTCCTGTATTGAGTCCCGCATAAACCCGGACCACACCGTGGGCTGCAACAAACAGGCCGCATGTTGAGTAACCCTGGTCTAAACCTTGCCTTGCAGGGAAAATTCAGTGAACTCCAGTTCCCACGTTTCCCAAGAGACATCTTCTGTATTATTCAATCCCTCAGAAATTAAGTCTGCTGTCTCCAAAGAGACAATGTGCACACATGCTACCCTATAAGCCCAGCTGAGGACACATTCTTTACCTTAAAACAAAAACAGACTGAACAAAATTAATCTATTTACAGTTATAAGCTATGCCTGAGTAGCTTGCTCATATCGAATTATCACTATCTCCAAAACCTGAGGCAGGAGACGTCACCATTTACCCAAGAAGTTGTTATCTTTGTCCCTTAAGTGATGGATAATGAAGGGATCCTCTCCCCTTCTTTATTATAGTCCAGGAAACCTTTGAAATGTATGCCCCCAATAGGGTACTTCTCTGCTGGTGTGGATATGCCATGCTGTCTGCCTCATCCTCTGGTCAGTCTGCTTTTTTGATTGGCTTAATCACTTTGTTTACCTTAGATGGAATTGTACTTTTGTTGTCCTGACTTGTAATCCAGTCATGCAGACAGGTAAATCCATATCCTTCGTCTAGGGCAGACTTGTTTATTAACTGCCTCCAAAACATAATTTAAGTCCATAGTTCAACAACACCTACAAAACTCTTTACACATAATCCATCCATATATTCCTTACCAACCCATCACCATTTGTTAGGATACCTTACAAGACACTGTGTGGCTAAATATTCTGGCAACAGTGTGTTGGATATTCCCTTTGGCGGTTGGCAAAAAAGGGCTCTTAGCTCACAGAACAGAGGCTGAGACCATGGTAGATTGTGATACTGAGGAGATGCCCTGCAGGAATCTGTATCAAATGGATTTTCCTTCATGCCCACGTGTATCACACTTCTGTGTTTCTGCTGAAAGGTAATAACGGCATGAATAACCAAGGCCAGGCCATGGGCTGCCAGGATGAAACTGAGCCTGCCATACAACTGGAGATGGTAGGAAGCATTACAAGCAGATGCTGCTAAGTGAGAGTTTGGCATCAGAATTTGAGATTTAGGAAATCCAGGAGAATTCAACAGAGTGAAGTGCTGCAGAGATGTCATGAGGATGAGAATGGATGTCTGCCCTCTACCATCAGTACCACTGAGGCGGTTTAAGCTCTGTGTCCTGGACTGAGCCCAGACTGTGCTGGGTCTAGACATTAGCTTCAGTTAGATGAGCTTGGCTAATTTTTCTGAGGACTTCAGGGTGTATGCAGCTGCTACTAAAGTCCACGGTCTGCAGTAGTGGCAGTGGAGTGGCTGCAACAAACTGCTGGATCGGTGGGGAAGAATCCTCGGCTACGTCTAGACTGGCATGATTTTCTGCAAATGCTTTGAACGGAAAAGTTTTCCGTTCAAAGCATTTGCGGAAAAGAGCGTCTAGATTGGCACGGACGCTTTTCCGCAAAAGCACTTTTGAGCAAACCCGTTCGGGCAAAAGTCTTTTTCCGAAAGACTTCTGCGCAAAAGGGCCAGTGTAGACAGCAGAGAGTTCTTTTCCGCAAAAAAGCCCCGATTGCCATTTTCGCGATTGGGGCTTTTTTGCGCAAAACAAAACTGAACTGTCTACACTGGCCCTTTTGCCCGAACGGGAGCAGCATAGTATTTCCGCAAGAAGCACTGATTTCTTACATGAGATTGTCAGTGTTCATGCGGAAATTCAAGCAGCCAGTGTAGACAGCTGGCAAGTTTTTCCGCAAAAGCAGTTACTTTTGCAGAAAAACTTGCCAGTCTAGACTCAGCCCTCCTGTTTACTCTTGCTATGTGTAAGAGAAGGGAGGTCCAATGGGAGAGAGAAAACAGGTAAAAATTCTTTGGCGTAAATGGATTTTTAGCAGAATCCCTTAAATATCTTAAAATAGGACCTCTCCATCCTAACAAGGTATAATTGGCTTCAATGGGCAAGTCTTGCTATCAGCTACCTCCACTGGAAGACAACAAATGCAGCCCAGAACTCTCAGGAAAACAGTACTAGAGTCATGTGAGAAAACACTGTCTCAGATATGGGAGTTGCTAGCATGTCAATGGATCCTCAGAAGAAGTAATAAATTAAATTTACCTGACCCGGAAAAAGTGGGTGTTTCAATTGGTAGATCAAAACAACAATAGCAGCAGCAACAACAAAAAATGCTCTTAACTTCAATTTTTAAGGAAGAGGCTCAAGAACCAACTCCAAACCAATCTCTTTCCCCAATGCCATTAGGATTCTACAGATTATCTAAAAGGCTGTGCAAGTAGAAACAAACATGCAAACTGAGAACTAGGCAGTTTCCATAAATTGCAAGATTGATTAACAACAGTGTTTGCTTCAGCCTACCTCCAGACTTACTCAATCTAAAAGCTAATAGATGCAAAATAAGATTTTAAAAGGGTTTTCCTACTCTCTATAGCATGGGTAGAGGAGGTACCACATTGAGAGAGGAGGTAGTCAAACTTTCGATCGAGGTCATATTCACAATCTCAGAGGTTCCCCCTTTTTTTTCTGTACATATAGAAGAACTTATCTCCTCAATTCATCACCCAATCAGTTTCCTTACATTCAAAAGTAATTCTCCTTTTACATACTCATTCAGAATGGGTCCCCAGTAACAGTCTAGGTCTTTAATCATCACTATAATACAAATAAACTATATATAAGAGCAGTATTTCTCTCTGTGCTCACGATGAGACTGGGGATTCCATAGTTTTAAACCTACAGATAATAAATGTACAAAACATGTCTGCAAAGTTCTATAGTCTTTATGAAAGTTCAGAAACTATGTTGTGGAATGTATTTTAAGCTAGTCTATCTCTGTGGACCTAATTCTGATTTTGCTGCACACCAGCGTGACGTGGGTCTATGTGCTGAATTCAGTCAAGTTATTCCTTATTTACACTGGTGTACATGAATACAGAATCAGGGTCAGAGTGTGCAAAGGACTACATGAAAGCAGAATAGTCTTCTCTTTGAAGACACTATAAACAAATGAGCTTTTGTCTTGAATTGAGGCTGCAACATAAGTCAACATTTAGACAGTTTGAATTGTAAATTTGTACAGTAAAATCAGGCATTTGATAAAGCAGAAAAATGTTCCTGTTGGTTTCTTTGTTTCCTTCACAATTCATCTTACTTGTAAATCTTGAGAATGATTTTATTGCAGATCAATTAAAATAGGTGATTGTACAGTGCAATAAACAAAATAAAATTAAATACCAGGTGCAAACCACAATAAAAATTATGAATACTGGCATTCAAAACTCTATGGACAATTACCAGCAATAGTGACACAAGGAAACGTGGGTATCACAGGAACAGCTCACAGCCCTTCACAGAAAATGCCCATTAAAATATGAATAAAGGACCCAGTGTCATTTGTATCTAAATATTCATATATAATAACTAATGACAAGCATTTGTATAGGTCCTTTCATCCATAGATCTAAAAAATCATATAAAAATCAAATAAATAATAGTCATAACTACTAGCTTTTATACCAGTGAAAGGCAACCTAGGCTAGTGAGTGGGCCACGAGTGTCCCTCCTTCATCTCAGTGGGCTGGAAGATTGCCGTAACCAAGATGGTCTCCCAGGATAGGATAGTTTTGCTAACCATGCTTGTTTACCTAGAACGTGTGGGGTGTGTCGAATGAACCGTAGCAGCCCTTTGATTGGATGCAGAGGGAGCACATGGCTGTCACAATGTTGTATGCAATCAGCATGCACCTCACTTCATATGCCCTTGCTTTAAGTGAGTGTCACTTTTGTAATAATTGTAAAAAAACTATGCGGATGAAAACCAACAGAATCTGGCAGCCCTGTGACTGGGCAACGGTAAACAAAATGCCTTTTGAACCATACATAGAATCCCAATGGGCCACATGCAGCTCTCAGGTTGCCCACCACTATTTGTACAATGCTTTTCTCCAAGATCAGAAAGCCATTCACCCAACTGGGTAAATACTATTATCTTCATTTTATAGATGGGAAAACTTAGGCACACATATGTTAAGTCAAATGCTTGCTCAAAATGTAGCAACTCAGTGACAGAACCAGGGATAGAACATAGAGCTTCTTATTCCCAATCTGGTGTCCCATCATTGGACCACACTATGTGCATATGGATATACATGTATGCGATAGTGTTCACAAACTTTTATACATGCACACCTGTATGTACATGATAACTAAAGGTACCGTATATTCCGGCGTATAAGACGACTTTTGATGTTAAAAAACATCCCCCCAAAATCGGGGGTCGTCTTATACGCCGGGTATACAGCTTTGCGGCTTTGCAAAGCCTCGGGGGAAGCCGGTGGCGGGGCAGCCCAGGCGCACCTGGGATGCCCCGCCGCCGGCTTCCCCCGAGGGTTTGCAAAGCCTCATACCCGGCATGTCAGGACGGCCCCGACTTTTG